TCTGAGTAAACCCGTCTGTGGTTGCAATTTGCTGTACTTTAGAATTAATTGGTTATTTCGCTGGTAGATTATTGTTTCCTTGAGTTTACTATAGGCTGCAAAAGTAATTCCCGAACTTTTCCCGCCAAAATTAATGAATGTACATGTAGGTCGTATAGCTTCCAAGTCGATTATCCCGTAGCCTGTTAACCCGCAACCAGAAATTGATTAGCCCCCAACCAGAAGCCGAGTAGCCCCCGCATAAGTCGATTCGCCCTCCTTCCCTGAAAGACTTGTTTTTTAAACACAGTGAATATGTTTGTTGCCGAGCGTGTGTTGTACAATACAATTCTATCACATGCACGAACACAGACATACAGTATAATTAACACTTAATGACTGGTCCCGAGGGGAACAGTGAATTTTCTTTCCCGAGAATCTCAATGTTGAAATTTTGTTTCCCGAGGAATCTCAGTGTTGAGAATCTCAACACTGAGATTCGAGGGAAACAAAATTCACTGTTCCCTAAGGGACCAGTCATTAAGTGATTTGTTATATAACACAACAAAACAAAAGCAAATTTTGAAAAAGGCGATGAGATTCCAGCTACAACATCAGGCCACTTTCAGCTGCACACTCTAAACACGTGCAACAGGGGTCAACATTTCCTGAGTAACAGTGAACTGTTTCCTGTTTGGCGTCATAGTTTTTGGGATGTTGCTCACTCATGGCATTTGGCAGTGAACAGTTTCATTGTTAGATATCATGTGACCATGAACTAGCCAATGAATGGGTGCACTGTAGCAAGAAAAATGCCAGCTATATAACAATGAGAGTTATGGGTCAAATTTTAATTTTGAAAAATAAAGTCTCCAAGGGTGATTTAATTTTGTGTGTTATGACAAACTCGATGGGAAACTCCATATTTTTACAAAATAAAGTTCCTAAGGGTGATTCATTTTTGTACCTTTTTTAACAATAAATGGCAGTTTTTAAGCCCAAATCTCAGGTCATGAAATGTTTTGCAGATCAGTGGTTCATGGCTCACTGCACGAGTGTGACTACTGAATGCAAATACATGTATGAGGCTGCTTATATATTTTTTTTATTATGTCTTGTCATTTTGACTGGCTGTAATGAATTGGCCACTCAGGAAATAATAGAAAAAGACAAAAACTGTGACTGATCAGGTCTTTTGCTGAACTTTCAGTTTATTATAATTGCTTTGTTGTATCAATCCACAATTTGGATTGTGGCTCGAAAATGATGATTGATTCTATAATTAGTCTGGTATTTGATCAAAACAAGGTCACGGATGAACGGTGATTTAATAAATTAAAGCTTTTAAATAATGGTTCTGTCACGCCATCATTTAGATGTCAAAGTCCTCAAAAGGCACATGCACAGCCAGTGAACAAAGCTTTTGTTAGGTGCTGTACAGTTGTCGATTGTTCTTTGAATGCCTTACATCAAATACCGCTACTTTAAGTTGCAAATGAAGGTAAAGAATGTACAAGAAATTATTTATATTCAACATGGAGCTCAAGCATAGAAATCAAGAGCGAATATAATCCTATTGTTTGGTATAAATCTACTAGTTGTAAACAGACATAAGCGTAGTATTCTGTCTCTTAAATTGTGAATTTGTCTTTCTTAGTTTCGTCATCTGTGTTTGCAATCTGCTGTACTAAAATGTTTTCTAGAATAATTGTTTATTTCGCTGGTAGATTATTATTTCCTTGAGTTTACTATAATTACTTTTCCTGCCAAAATTAATGAATGTACAAGTAGGTTGTTTAGCCTCCAAGTCAATTATCCCCTAGCCTGTTAACCCGCAACCAGAAATCGATTAGCCCCCAACCAGAAACCAATTAGCCCCCACATAAGTCAATTCACCCTCCTTCCCTGAAAAAATACACTTGTTGCCGAGCGTATGTTTTAGAATATTATTCTATCACATGGACACAGACATACAGTATAATGAGGGTTCTGGGTCAATTTTTTATTTTGCAAAAAGGTCTCCTGAAGGGTGGTTCAATTTTGTGCGTAATGGAAAACTCCATGGGAAGCTCCATATTTTTACAAAATGACGCCCCCAAGTGTGATTCATTTTTGCACCTTTTTTACATGGCAGTTTTTGAACCCAAATCTCGGGTCATGAAATGTTTTGCAAATTTTATTTATTTTATTTTATTAGCTTTGCCTTTATGATACAAAAAAAAAAATTACAATCAATATGTACACTGTAGAGGTTTGGCAGGGACATCGCAACAGCTAAGTAGCCAATTACTGCAGGCCCAGAAATAAAATATATGTAAAAAGAAAGAAAGAAAAACCACATTACATGTACATGCAGCACATTATTGGTACTGTATGTCAAGAAATCTTGTTGGAGTAGAAATCTATGGGTCATGGCTCACTGTGCAAGTGTGACTACTGTATGTAAATACAAGGCTGCTTATTGACAGTTTTTTGTTATGTCTTTTCATCTTGATCAGCTGTAATGAATTGGCTGCTCAAGAAATAACAGAAAAAGACAAAATATGTAACTGATCAGGTTTTTTGCTGAACTTTCAGTTTATTATACTTATATTATTGCTTTGTTGTATCAATCCATGATTTGGATTGTGACTTGAAAAAGATGATTGATTCTATAATTGAAGGCTTTCGTGCGAAAAGGGCGTATGTGGCATTTTGGGCCAATTTTTATTTTTTGCAGGATTGAGCTAATTTTTGTCAGTCTGACTTGTTTTGACATGAAAAGCATTGTTGTATAATTGTTTTTGTTGATTTGCGCTTCATTTTCGAGAAATAACGTATACAAAAAAAACTCAGTTTTGGAGATCTTTTGTTGAGCGAAAAACAAAAGAAACCTTTGTTTTGCTAAACGAAGTCACCGAAGCATGGTATTTGCCGCTAGTTTTATTATTCATATAATTACGCAATTCTGTTACTGTTGCTTCGTTAGCGTAAGTGAATAAGGTGCTGAACTGGCCGGTGCGAGTTTGTTTAGTCGTGACACCGGTTCAATGCAAGGTCGGGGCAATTTTTTTTTTTCCGGTCTATTTCTTTACTTCTTTCAAAAATCAAAACATCTATTTAAAAAAACCATGCTGTTGAAGCTGCTAAAAGTAACCGTTTAAGTTTGCGCCGCGTCAAATTCCACCTTGGAAGGATTCGCTCTAAAAGATGCCGCTCGGAAAACTGAGTTTTTTTGCATATGTTATTTCTCGAAAACGAAGCACAAATCAACAAAAACAATTATGCAACAATGTTTTTCATGTCACAACAAGTCAGTCTGCTAAAATGTAGCTTGATCCTGCAAAATATAAAAATTGGCCCAAAATACCACATACGACCTTTTTTGCGCGAAAGCCTTCAATTAGTCTTGTATTTGATCAAAACAAGGTCACAGATGAGGAGTGATTTTAAAAGCTTTTTAAAAAAATGGTTCTGTCACCCAATTATTTGAGATGTCAGTCAAAGTCCTCAAAAGGCACATGCACAGCCAGTGAACAAAAAAATAAAATAGCGGTTTGTCAGAAATAAGCATGAGACCAGATGTAGAAACATCAGTTTATTAATAAGAAACTTGTGTTTAAGTGTTTTTATCAATGAGAACTTTCCACTTCAGACTCTTGTCTGTTGTCCCCTTTTCTAAAACAAAGACAAACTGCGATTGCTGGCAATAGAAAACTCTCATTGCCTGCAATGTACTGGGAGTTATAATGTAACAGTATTGCTAAATTATTTTTAGGCTTTCATAGGGAAGTAGAAATATGGAGAAAGGTGAAGATGAAGTAATTCAGAAAGATGGTGAGTATTTTTTTTCAATTTACTGAACTAGGGCTCACGTAGAACATTGAAGATGAGTGATTGTGGCTGCATTTTGCTCAATGCTGTCACTATTTTTGTTTGTTTGTTGTTGTTTGTTGTTGTAGTTGTTTTCCCTTTTCTTAAAAGGAGAAGGTCACTCCAAAAACCATGTATTTTTTCCATCACCAATAAAAAGTTCACATTGAGTTGAGTTACTCACCGTTGTTTTAGCTTCTGAAGTGGATGCGATCCCAATGGAAAAGAAGTGAAAAGTTCGACACTGGGAGCCGCCATTTTGAAAGGATCTTGCAGGCTAGGG